ATTAGTAGCAACACGGCTTGTAAGTCCTAGTGCTCTGATTTTTGTTACTTCTGGCAAGAGCCAGAAGAATTAATGGGGACTAAGCACCTAATATGTGGGACTCCCCATGAAAGGCACTTTCCATAAATTCTCTGTTTAATTCTCCTGAGACATATCTTTCACCAATAAAGAAAATGTAATTCCTCTGCAACATAGGTGTTACCAGTAAGACAAAGACATTATTTTGTTGAAGGAACTCAGCCAAGGGCACAGCAGGGTTTTGAACCTGGATCTTTTCCTGATTTCCAAATCCCAAATCATCGTTCTACTTCACCAGCGCCCCCTTAACTTCCTGGGACCTAATACATTCTGTGAAATATTTCTTTCTGAGAAAGCCTGTGTGGTTGCCCCAGAATGGAACGCAGAGTGCTAATATTTTGTTGAAGGAACTCAGCCAAGGGCACAGCAGGGTTTTGAACCTGGATCTTTTCCTGATTTCCAAATCCCAAATCATCGTTCTACTTCACCAGCGCCCCCTTAACTTCCTGGGACCTAATACATTCTGTGAAATATTTCTTTCTGAGAAAGCCTGTGTGGGTTGCCCCAGAATGGAACGCAGAGTGCTAACCCTCGTTTATCGATGAGTAAATTATGTATTAACTCCAAGGGAGGGAATTACTACCTAAGAAACCAGTATCTCCCCCAAAAGAAGGGTCAATACAAGAGCTCAACCCATTCCTGAAGACCAGACTGGCTACACAGTCTGTGAACACAGTGCAAAATGTGGGATTCTTGGCCAAAAGTCCAGCATTCCAAGATGGTGACAGGACAGTGCTAAATTAAGCAGAGGGCCCTTCCAAGTCAGGCCCTGTGTGACTGCACCCACCCTGGCCAGTCTTCTATGAGCATCTCCCAGTCAATAGTCTCCCAGTGCGAGGAGATTAAGTGCCTACGCTAGGCCTGGAAAAGCATTCGGTTCTTCACATAAGCTAAAGGACCCTAAAATCTATGAAGCAGGTATTATTTTTCCCATTTCACAGTGAATGAAACTAATACTTAAAGAGTCAGTCTGTTACTTATCCAATGTCATATAGCAAGTAAAGAGCTAAGCACCGGTGGCTCACACCTATAATCCTAACTACTCAGGAGGCAAAGATCTGGAGGATCATGGTTTGAACCCAGCCCAGGCAAATAGTTCAAAAGGCCCTATCTCAAAAAAACCCTTCACAAAAAAGGGCTTGTGGAATGACTCAAGCTGTAGGCCCTAGTTCAAGCCCCAGTACTGCCAAAAAACCACAAAAACAAAAACAAAAAACCAGAGCTAAGATCATGTTAGTTGAGGTGTTAAAAATTCTATTCCTTAACTTTGTTTGTATCCTTTGCAGCACAGTCTGTTGTCTTCTGGTCAAACCCAAACATACTCAGAGGCTATTAAGCCCAGAGACTACAGGGAGCCCAGGGAAGAGCAGGGAGGGCTGCACTAGGGATCCCAAGTGCAGTAGCCAGAGTATAGTTGTCCATCCCCAGTCCGTCCTAAGGTCAGGTGTCCCTTCCATGGACTAGGACAGAAGACTATGCATGGCCAATGTTATGGCCAATTCCCAGGCTCCCTCCAAGAGAAATGGAAATGCTGAGTGAGGTCTTTACCTTGATAAAACATAGTTAAACAGAGCTGGGGATGTGGCTCAAGTGGTAGAGATCCTTAGTTCAAACCCCTGCAATGCCAAAAAAAAAAAGGAGCCAAACAGGACTTAAAGAATGTTACTCAATGATAAAACACTGGGAAGAGCCCACTGAAGTAAGCAACAAGATACAGATGTTTGTTGGCTATTGTTGCTTCTACTTTATATAGAACTGAAAGTTAGTCCAACCAGTATAATAAGACAAGAAAAAAAGATGAGAATCATTCGTGGTAATTTTTGTTGTTGTTGTTGTGCTGGGATTGAACCCAGGGCCTTGTGAATGCTAGGAAAGCACTCTACCACTGAGCTACATCCACAGCCCCCAGGGTAACTTTTGATTAATAATATATATAGCTCTAAAAAGAAAAAGGTTAAAAAAAAAAAAAGGAGTAAAGAACCAACATAATGGTACAAGACTGTAATCCCAGCACTCAGGAGGTTAAAACAGGATGGAGAGTTCCAGTCCAGCCTGGGCTATTCAACAAGATCCTATCTCATAAAAACAAAAACTCTCTCTCTCTCTCTCTCTCTCTCTATATATATATATATATATATATACGCATGCACACATATATGCATACATACATATGTATATATATACACATACATACACACATGCTTATATATTTAAATATATATTACGTGTGTGTATGCACATATACCTAAGCTGTAATTTCAGCTCTGCACACCACAGAGCCTCCTCCAATGCCCACCTCCAGCATACAGAATTGGAAACAAACCTACCCAGACAACTCCAGGCCAGAACACAGCAAAAACCATAGGACATGCTTCTAAGTCCCTTATCTCCTTCTGGCTCACATCTCAGGAATGCATAGATCCTGTTGTTTTTTTATTCAGGTTTATTTCCCCCAAACCCTCAGGTTTCTTTAATACAAACGGTATCTGCCTTCTCTAAGTGTTTGCCATTCTCTCTTCCCTGGGGAAAATCAGAAAGAGCTGATAAAGTGGATCTCTGATCCAGCTTTTTATGGTGAGCTAAGCTGGAGAGAGGTTGGGATGTGCAGCCTTGGCTGCTATCAGGGCAAAATAGGAAAAAGAATTTTGTTTATAAACATTTTTTATTTTAAAATAAATTTTTTATTTTAAAATTTTATTATAAAATAAAAACATATTTTATAAACATTTACATATTTATAGCCGAAGGCAGCAGGCAGTTGGAAGGAAGTGGATTTGGCATCAGATAGATTCAAGTTTGGAGTCCCATGCTATCACTTATTAGCTTCATGTCCTAAACTGCACTGCTCTCCCATTTACTGTCTGTAAGATGGAATGACTTCCAATGCTACTTAGCTGTCCTAAGGTCACAATGAGACTGGTGCACAGGGACTGAGCCCACAGGGACTGTGGCAGGCCCACCCAATGTCTAGTTCCTCCACACACAGGGATGCTACCTTGTTATTTATTTTTTATTCAGCTTTATTTCCAGCTAAACTTTTCAACTCTAATACAAACCTAGTACACCACAGCATTGTTTCAGGTAAGTTCGTCCCCAGTGCCAATGCCAGGGCTATTTCCTGGTGGGTCTGAGCCCATGACAGTGACCCCATTTTTTTTTTTTTTTCCTGCCATTACTAAATTAGCCATGGGCACATGCAGCAACTCTGTACCGAAGAGATATGCAGTAAGTCCACTTTGGAAATTCTGTGTTTTTCTTGTTTTTCAAAGGACAAAAAGGGCTGGGGGAGACGTGGCTCCTATCAAGCACAAGGCCCTGAGATCAAACTCCACTACCACAAGAAAAAAAAATTTACAGCCTACATGTTGGATGGACATGATGGCTTATGCCTGTAATCCCAGCTATTTAGGAGCTGGAGATCAGGACAATGGTCTCCCTTTCTTGCCTATATTGTCATGTCTGGATTGATGCTTAGAATGGTTGCAGCCAGGCTTTGTGAGAGCAAAGAGCTTGAAGACAAAACCAACCCTAAAACAGAACAGAGCAGAAAGATGGAAGACCCTATGCTACTTGACAGTGAGCCAGAGTTAACCACCTTGGACTTAGGTTAGCAGAGACTAAGCATCCTTATTGCTGATGCCTCCTTGTTCCTTGAGGTGAACAGTGACAATACTATAAGGATATTTTGACTGATAGTTTGGGAAGTCAAGTGCCTACTTGCTGGCTATCAAGTGCTTAATATGAATTTAGTCTAATTTCAAAGAAATGAAATAGAAGTCTCCTATATCAAACTATAAAGAGACTGGGGGATGTAATGACTGACTGGATCAAGAGGAAAACATTCTTGCATTGCTCCTTTGCTATTGTTAAAATGAATTAAACTCACTCGTTCCTAAGCTCCCAGGAGGTACAAAGAAGAGAACAATAGGCCTGGGAGCCTTGGAGTGGACCCAGGGCTCAGGGGCAGACACAGGAAAGCACAAGTGAGTAGTAGTACCAGGGACTTATTCTAAACACCTATGTAGGCCACAGTTGAGGCATAAAAGGGAGAATTTTGGGGTGAGTGCATGCCAGACACAGTGGGAGTAGGTGGAGGCATACACGTAAGCAAGTGAGCAAAAGGCACCCCAAGCCAGAGTCCAGGGGACTGCATGGTGTGGCCAGAATAGAGTGCAGCAACACACTGGTAAAGCAAAGCAAGACCCAACAGACGAAGCGGTCTGTCTGCCATGGATGCCTGCAGGAATGTGGTGTGGTAGTCTGGAGTAGTAGGGAATGGAGCATTTTCCCATGGATAGAGCAGCCACAGCAGCCACCTGGGAGAGGATGTGCACCTTCAGCTAGTCTGTCCCCCAGCAGGAATAGAACTCCATGTGGTGGCATCTGTCTGTAATCTTAGCACTCAGGAAGCAGTGACAGGAGGATCACAAGTTGGAGGCCAGCCTACGTTTCATATTAAATTCATATTAAGTACAGGGTTTAGGCTTATCAACCCAATCCTCCCTCAGAAGACATCCTCAAGCCAGTTTGCCACTGATTCCCCATCCACCATTCTTGCTTCTAACCCTACAGTATCTGTCACCTGTAAATGTCCTATCTTCTATTTTTTTTTTCTTTTATTCATATGTGCATACAATGTTTGGGTCATTTCTCCCCTCTTCCCCCCGCCCCAATGTCCTATGTTCTAAGTGTAACTATGACCTCTTTCCCTACAGCCAAGACACAACTAATTGCAGAATAGACTCTCTAACCAAGGACAACCTTCTTTTTGAAAAATATGGTCAGTAAACAATACTGATCATTTCTCTACTCTGCCTTTTATTTTCTATTCCCTGGCATCCTCCTCCCCTCCCAGCCACAGTTACAGCTCCCAAACGGATGACCACAGTGTTGGTAACAGACAAGGGGGTTATTTTATACACTAAGGCACGAGGCTGTGGTACAGCTGGCAGGAAGAGAGGTGTAATTATATTGTATCTCGGAGCCACCAGCAATGAATTTCTGCATAAAGGACTAGATTTGCCATGTATTATTTACGCCAGCATCAACTTTCCCAGCTGGCTCTATTTACTGTGCAAAGTCCCCTCTGACTATTTATGGGCGAGGCCATGGTTCACCACCTCTGGTTACTCTATACGGTGGCAGGGACCCACACGGCCCCATGCATATTAAACAAGTAGCTGGATTCACCAGGAGCAGGTCATGTCCTTCCTTCCTGTTAAATTATATCCCTGGGATAGCAGCAAGCTCACATTCTCACCTGGTCATGGTGATGCATGCAGGTGTGTGAAACCAAATCAGCAGGAGGAAAGGAAGAATCATTCTTTGGGGGCCTCACTGGGGGAGACTGAAAAACAACCTCTGAGGGGAAATCAGGTGAGTCTGGAGTTCAGGGAATATTCTTTTTATATATTTTTAAGAGCAGGATGTAGATGAAAAAAAGTTTTTCATTTATGAGGCTATTTCTACCCAATAACTCAGAGATAAAGCTAAGGGAAAAGGAGGCTAATCTTACAGTTGGAAAAACGGAGACCAAAACCAAAATACAGAAGGGAAACAAAGGAAGCTAGTGTCTCCATGGTTCAGTCACTGTGCTATCCATCCTGTCACTGGTGTGCCTCTTTAGAGATGCCCCCAAGCAAGGGTGAACCTGGCTCCCAATGGGAACACAGATGATGAACCAGTGGAAGGAAACTTGGCACCAACACGGCTGGGTCCTCCCACTGCAGTGTCCTCTCTGGCCTGGGTCTTCATGTGCTTCCCCAGAGAGTGAGACATCTCTTCTGATCAGCCTGAGTACTTCTGCAGTCCCAGGTGCTGGGTGGCAGTGGGCAGCAATATTTCTGGGAAGGAAAGTTGTGGGGGTTTTGGTGCCTCCCCCTTCTCAATCAACAGCACCAGTCATGTCTCCTCTCCCTGTACCACTGGGCTCTGCTCTGGAGTGCCCCATGTCCCAATGTCTACCACCTCCTGGAGTCCTGTTGGCTGAAAGAAGAGATAGGGTTTGGGGAGGGGAGTAAGTTCTTCAGTAAGATACCCATGGACATGGAAACCACCCTCCAGAGCCCAAGATCCTGGCATTCTCCTGGGGCTGGCTCACCTGACGGGGAGACTTGGTCAGACACACTGTGCGCTGGCTGCTGCCTGACGCTCCTGCCTCCTTAGTGTCTAGTAGAATCCGGGTGCTGGGCACAAAGCTCCAGGAGCGTCCGAGGGCAGGTTTGACCCTCCCACTGTCCCTGTCTCGGGTCAAGTGGTTGGTCACCTGCAGAAAGAACAGACTTCCATAAATGCTAGCACAGAGGACATCTGTTCCTACTGCTCATTTTACAGATAGGAAAACTGAGGCCTAGTGTAGAGAAATGACTCCCCCAAGGTGCTATAACTTAATGGCAGGTCTAGAATTAGCATCCAGAGCTTCTGACCTACAGCTAGCTCTTTCCACTAAACCTCGATGCCTCAGGCCAGACTCCAATTAGAAGAGCACCTGTCTGTGAAAAAGCAGTGTGTTAGTCTCACTTTTCTAAAGGGAAGCCCATGCTGGGCTTGTGCCTACCACAACCCCCAGCCCAACAGATGGGTGTACAGACACCATACATACCCAAGCACTCTGTGTCTGGGAATGTGTCTGTGAGTGGGAGTGAGAGAAGGTTTAGAAGGACTCCAATTCTGGTGGGTCAGCCTACTGTGCCCAGGTTAGCCACAGAGCTATGCACTTTTGAGGAGCCCCTCAAGGACAGAGCTGTGTTTGTTCACCATGAATCCCTACTGCCCAAGCCAGAGCCTGGCACACAGCAGGCAATCATCCAAAAGCCAAGAGAGGGAGGCCGTGGAACCTTGTATTTAAACAAAAGAATATGGAAATAGGCCCTTTTATGTTTCCAGTGGGTATACAAATTAGTATAACCTTTCCTCAAAATGCAGCCATGTCCTATCTAGACATCTAAAAATACATGTAGCTAGGCATGGTGGCACACATCTCTAATCCCAGTTATTCAGGAGGCTGAACAAGGAGTATTACTAGAGACCAGTTCAAGACCAGCCTGGGCACCACAGTGAGACCCCATCTCACAAAGAAAAAGAAAAAAAAAAAAACAGGGCTCGCAGAGTGGCTCAAAAAGTAGAGCACCTGCTAGCAAGCGTGAGGCCCTGAGTTCAAACCCCAGTACTACCAAAAAAATTTAATTAATTTTTTTAAATAAATGTATTCCTGACTCAGTGGTTATTTATACACTTAGGAGGAAATGATGTGAGCAGTACAGAGACTTAGGTAAAAACTGTAGTTTCTTCATCAATGACCTACACGTCCAAAGATCAAGAACTGGAGAGATCAGTATGGTACAGCAAGGATCAGCAAACCCTGGTCCACTGGCTAAATCTGATCCAAAAACTGTTTTGGTAAATCAAGAGATTTTTCGTTTTGTTTTTCTTTGACTTTTTTAGGGTTTTGTTAAGTCCTTTTTGGTTTTGTTTGTTTTTTTTTTTTTTTTTTTTTTTTTGAGACAGGGTTGCTAGCTATGTAGTACAGGTTGGTCTCCAACTCACTTTGTAACTCAGACTGGTCTGCCTCAGCCTCTCAAGTGCTAAAATTACAGGTGTGTGCTGCCATGCCCAGCTATAAGTCAAGTTTCAATGGAACATAATGTGGCCATTTGTTCATGTGCTGTCCCTTGGCTACCTTCATGCCACCCTGGCAGAGTTGAGTTGCCTATCTGGTCCTTTACAGAAAAAGTTTGCTGTTACAGCCACTGCAGTAGCTCCACAAAAAATAAAAAACAACATTATCATATGACCACCGGTTCCACTTCTGTATATTCACCCAAGCAGAACGAAAGTAGGATACAAAGAGAGATGTGGATACTCATGTTCAAAGCAACATTACTCTTAAGAGCCCAAAACTAGAACCCGAGCATCCATCAGTGGATGAATGGCCAAGCAAAATGTAGCCTATCCCTACAGTGCAATCAATCGGCCTTGTTTTTTTTTTTTTTGTGAGTGTGTGGTGCTAGGGATCAAACCCAGGGTCTTGCACTTGATGGGCAAGAGCTCTACCACTGAGCTACACCCCAGTGCTAATTCAGCCTTTAAAAAGAAGGAAGAGTAGAAATGGCTCAAACTTGGTACTGCAAAATAAACAAACAAACAAACAAACAAAAAAGGGAAATTCTGACACCTACTACAACACAGATGAGGACATTATGCTAAGAGAAATAAATCAGTCAAAAACAAAAGGCAAAATACCACGTTTCCACTTACATGAGGCATTTGAAGTAGTCAAAATTATGTAAAGTGAGTGGTATGCATAGGAAATTAATGTGAGTCAACTCCCTGTATAGCTATCCTTATCTCAACTAGCAAAAACCCTTGTTCCTTCCTATTATTGCTTATACTCTCTCTTCAACAAAATTAGAGATAAGGGCAAAATAGTTTCTGCCGGGTATTGAGGGAGTGGGGGGGAGAGAGAGGGGGCGGAGTGGGTGGTAAGGGAGGGGGTGGGGGCAAGGGGGAGAAATGACCCAAGCGTTGTACGCACATATGAATAATAAAACAATAAAGAAAAGAAAGTGAGTGGTAGTTGTCAGGGGCTGGGGGGGGAGGGGGAGGGAGGGTGCTTTTGGGGGAGGGGACTACTTAGGCACTCTACCACTTAAGCCAGTCCACCAGCCCTTTGTGTGTGTGTGTGTGTGTGTTGGGTATTTTTGAAATAGGATTTCAGGAACTATTTGCCCGGGCTGGCCTTCAATCTTGATCTTCCTGATCACAGTCTCCTGAGTAGCTAGGATAACAGGCATGAGTTACTGGCGCCCAGCAGGAGTAGTTATTTTTAATGGGCAAAGAGTTTTAGTTTTACAAGATAAAAAGAATATTGAGATGGATAGTGGTGAGGCTTGCCCAACATGATGAATATGTTTATCACCACTAAACTGTAGACCTAGAAAAGGCTAAGATAGTAAATGATATGTTCTGTGCATTTTACCATCATATAAAAATGGGAAGAAATATGTAGCTGCTAAGAATGATAATGATAATCTGCATAAAGAACCAGGTAGGGTGGTGTGTGCCTGTAATCCCAGCACTCAGGAGGCTGAGGCAGGAGGACCAAGAGCTTGAGATCACACAGTGAGACCTTGTCTCAAGAAATCTTGAAACAAAAACAAGGAAGAATCTATATAAGAACATGGCAAATGGATTGAGAAAGGAAGATATTTTTGTATTTTTTAAATGAGGTTAGTTTGGTTAGGAAGTTGGTGAAAAGCATAAGTACATATGCAGAGAAAAAAGACTTTCTGGAGATAAAATAATACAGTTCCTATGGCTGTGGAGACTGATGACAAATCTGAATCATATTTAGCTACTTAGCATGCAGAGTTTTAAAAAAACTGCTTCATAAGCAGAAAAGGCTACTTTAACAGTAAAAAGATTAATTTCTGTGAAGCTCTGGAAAGGAAAAGGCTATGGGAACAGAAAGACATTGGTTGCGTGGGAATGGGGGAACTTTCAGTGAGGTAATAAGATTGGATACACTGTTACCTGTTAGTCAAACTTCAAACAAGGACATTGTTACTCTACATAAATTATACCTCAATAAACCAGACTTAAAAGAAAAACCAGACAGTTGCAGCTCTCCATCACAGCCCAGACTCCAGCTGACCCAGGAAGGCTGTGCCATGTTCCTTTCCTAAAGGGCTACTCCGGAGCCAGGCACCGGTGTCTCATGTCTACAATCCTAGCTACTCAGGAGGCAGAGATCAGGAGAATCAAGGTTCAAAGCTAGCCTGGGCAAATAGTTCACCAGACCCTATTTCTGATAAACCCATCATAAAAAAAAGGCTGGTGAGTGAATCAAGTGGTAGAGCTCCTGCCTAGCAAACGTGAAGCCCTGTGTACAAGACCCAGTACTGGAAAAAAAAAAAAAGGAGGCTACTCTAGGGTTCCAAGCTGTCATTTAAGGATTTAAAGGAAACAGAGCTAGCTCTAACTAGAAATCAAGTTCTCAGTTCCTTACCACCACAGCCATGCCGAAGTCCCGGGCCAGGGTCTTCAGCTCCCGAGCCAGCTGCACCATCAAGGCCAGGCCTGGGGAAGGAGGAGCAGACAGGGAGGACAGCAGAGAACCAGGGACAGGCTGGTCAGAGACCAGACTCCAGAGCTGGGAGGTAAGGTTCCCCCCACCCTGCCCGGCCCTTAGGTTCTGCCACACCACTCACCTTCCCTCTGCTGACCTCCCATGAGTGGGGAGACCACCGCTGTGACCGAGTCCACAACCACCACCTTCACAATCCCTGAAGAACCCATTACCTGGAGGGATGGGGGAAGCAGGTACCTACCATGAACGGATGGTCTCTAGGGGGCGCCAGAACAAGCTTATGCCTCCATTAGAAGCTAGTCATAAACAATCTCCCCAGACCAGATACTGCACCTGCCTCAAGTGCAGCAAGGTCTCCCTCACCCATATGGTTGGGTGTTGTGAGGCCCATCTTTCCGGACTTATCCTCACCTCTCCTGCTTACTTCACCCCAAATTCCTAACTTCCTTTGTTGAAGACTGCAGCCTTCCCTCTACTTCATCTTCCTTCTAGATCTTGCCTCCAGGGCCTCCTCTCCCACAGCTACGATAGTTCCAAATAAAGACACTCTTTCTCTAAGAGTTCTGATGCTTTCTTTCAAACCATAATCTTGTGTCTGCATGCGTGTCAGTGTCCTCCTACTTTCTCTGGGCCCAAAATGTCACCCCGGCTTCCTTTCTTCTCTCCCTTCCTTCCTGTATCTGCATTCTGCTTCTATTCCATTTTTTCCACTGCCCATTAGCCAAGTCTTGGCTACTGGGCATTTTCTGCTCTGTCTGTTGCATTTCTCCCAGCTACCAGCTCTTGGTCTGTCACCAAATTGTCTGAGAGAGGATGGCAGGAAAGGGAGAAGCTAAAACCAAACTCAAGCTTAGATCCTTGCTGTCTCCACAGCAGGCTATTTGTAGTAGACAGACCCTAAGTGAACCCCATGGTCCCCACTTTCAGTTAGTCAAATTCTTCTTCTGGAGTGCAGGCAAGACATGTGACCTGCTTCTGGTGGATATGATGTCAAAAATGTTGGCATGTCACTTTTTTTGGTGCTGGGGACAGAACTCAGGGCCTCACACATGCTAATGCTTCTCAGTCATCCCCAGCCCTTCCCCTTCAGTCTCTTCATTAGGCTACATTATGTCACTTCCACGGCTACACTATGCTATAAAAGACTGGCTGTTACTATTTGCTGTCACTGTCCTGTTGGTCTTGAAGAAGCAAGTGGCCATGCTGTGAACTCCCTATAGAAAGGGTCAAAGGGCAGGAAAAGTGGGTGGCCTCCAGAAGCTGACAGCAGCCTCTGGCCAATGCCAGCCACTAGAAAATGCATTTATTCTACCAACAACCTGAGCAAACTTGTGAATAGATTCTTCCCGCGCTGAGACTTTGGATGAGAGCACAGCCCTGCCGACGCCTGGGTTACAGCCATAAGGATCCTACCCAGAGGACCCAGCTAAGTGAACCCAGGTTCTTGACCCATGGAAACTGTGAGACAGTAAATATGTGGATTTAAGCTCCAGAGTTTGTGCACTTGTTATGTAATAGTAGAAAATATACCATTTAATGGTCCTAAGGGGGTGTGTGTGTGCGCATGTGCGTGTGTGTAGCATTCTGACATTCTGACCTGGAATTCAGAAATTTGGGTTCTTGGTTGTTCTAAATATGTGGATATCGTCTCTGCTTCTCGCTCTCCTCATCTGTAAAAATGAGAGGGTTGCATGGAACCTGCTTTACTTGTCTTCATGGTTCATTCAATACACTGGTGGGTTCTAACCAGCTATGACTTCTGTGGTCAGTATCTGCTTACCTATTGCATGTTCTAAAGTTTGTGAAAGTTAACTTTCTTGATAGACCATTCTGGGTATACCCATGTCACAGTTTGTGGCAAGAGAAAAAGTTTGAGATGAACTAAACTATTCTGTCTCTGAGATGTCTTTTAAATCTTGTCTAAGCATCTAGCAGAGTGTAGCACAGAATCAACCTAATGCTATTCAACACCCCACCTCTCACTTTCCTAGTTAACACAACTCTGAATATGTTCAGGTACTGGGTGGAAATCTCTTGTCTTCAAGGAAGGTGGTCCCAGCTCCTGGTACAAGAGTTGCATATAACTCAATTTTTGCCAACTAGGATTAGGGGTGTAGCTCAGTGGTAGACTGCTTGCCTAACATACACTGGCTCTGAATTCGATCCTGGGTACCATAGTTTTTTGTTTTGTTTTTAAATCTGGTCAACTAGATGTAAGGGGAAGAGGGAAGTCCATTAGTGGGCTAGTAGACTAGGTTTCTCGTCCTAAAAAAAAACATCTATCTCCCCCTAGCCTTAACATGGAGGATATGGGGACGTGTGAAGACAAGATGCTTGGGGCTATAACAGCCCCTTTGCAATCATGAGGGGAAGAGCAAGATGACCAGACATACAATCTAGTGCCCCGAGTCCACGGTCTTGCCAACCTCCAGACTCACATGAGGTAATGTGATGTCCCTGGGGTTCAAGTCTCTGTCAGACAGCCTCTATTACTTGCAGCTGAAAGTATTCCTAACTGATCTTAGTGAGGAATGCAGAGGTGAATACAACATAATCCTTGTCCTCAAGGGGCTCAGTGTGCAGTGTAGCAGGGATGGTGGACATGTAAACAATGCAGTATGTGAGTTAAGCACTGAAGAATTCCACCCATGGAGTGGCAAGCACAGCTGGGATCACCAGAATGCACATCTGTGTTTCCATACAAAGTGTGTCTTGGGAAACCTGCTGGGTAAAGCAGTGCAGGGCAGATCAGCAGACTCACCTGCTTGGCCACAGTATCTCGGAGGTCCTGCAGGACCTCCAGCATCTGGAAGATATCAAACACATGTGCCACCTGGATCCTCTGGAGAGCAGCTGCCTGAGGGTGTGAGAGGGAAGCAAGGGCTTGGATGAGATGGAGCAGAGGATGGAAGGAGGTGATGAAGAGAATTATAAGGCTGAGAAGGGAAAGAGACACTCAGACACAGGCATGAAGTTCCAAAAAGGCAAATGGGTTTTGTCTAATGGGGATGGCTGCTGAGATACGGCTTGATTAGTGATGTCTGCCGCAGGGAAGAAATGGGCTGGAAACACAAACGATGATTGTTTGCCACTCTGATTTAGGGTACTCAAGGAGTTGGAATGTTTCCTGAAAGCATCGTGGGTGGATGATGGTGTTAGCAGGAAAGGATGCAGCGAGAATGCAAGAAACATCAACAGGACTGCAGGTTTCACAACCAGAAGCCACCTAGATGACCCAAATTCCAGCAGTGTAAGGGACAGTGGGACCTTCTAGCATCAGCACCTCAAAGGAGCCTGCCTGTCCCACCCCTTACCTGTTCCTCTTCATCCTGGGTCATAGCCTGCAGTAGCTGGAGGAGGCGGGAGGCTGTCAGCCCTCCATTAGAATCAACATATAGGACATTCTGCTGCAGACTGTGGGTCATGTGTGCAGCCACGCAAAGGCATAACTGGAGAGAGATCAGGCATTGCGTGAACCTGAGCCCTTGGAGATGGAAGGTCTAGCATGGGGCTCCCCGTCACATCTTGCCCAGCTTCCAGTCACACAAACAGGCCAAGTCCAAGTCCACTTCTCATGTTTTCTGACCTCTGATCCCACAGGGACACAGGAGCTCCCCAGGGATCCAGGGCTATCCACCCACCTCTCCCAATCTTCCTGCCTGCTGGCTTCACATGTACCTGGGTTTTGCCGCTACCTGGTCCTCCTACAATTTCAGTCACTTCTCCAGTATAGAGACCAGCATCGAGAAGTTTATCCAGACTGATGATAGAAAAAGAGAAGAGAATCAACCAGGAAGTCAGGGGAACAGGGGAGGAGGGGGCGGCAGCAGTACAGTATCACCGCCAGGATTAATTAATACAGTCAAAATAATCCCCAGCATTAGGGAGGCTGAGGCAGGAGGATCATGCATTTGAGGCCAGCCTGAGCTACACAACAAGACCCTGTCAAAATTTAAAAAGGGCTGAGGGTGCAGCTCAGTGGTGCAGTGCCTGCCTAGCATACATGATGACCTGGGTTTGGTCCTCAGCACTGAAAAAAAGATCACCTTTCCATGCAGGCCTTGGCTGCCCCATCCAAAGGCCTTCCTTTATTGTCCAGTTCAGCCCCTGTGGATTTACTTGCACCCTTCACCTTATCCCCTAAAGGTAACACTTGTTATGTAAGAGATAACACATTGCACACAGTGAGTTTCCTGCACTGTCAACCAGGCAACTAATGCTGGTGCTAGACAGAACTTAATCAGATAGCAGCACGATTAATGTGCATAGTTACATGTGTATGTCATTTTCTCACATGTGTAGTTTGTAAACACCACAACCAAGACAGAACATGCTGCCTTTTAAAAGCCACAGCCCTCCCACCCACCCCTAACTCCTAACCCCTGGCACCCATGCATCTGTTCTCCTTCTCCATTATGTTATGGCAAGAACATTATACAAACAGAAGCATCCACTACAAAGTGACCTTTGTGATTGGCTTTTTTCACTCAGCATCATTCCCTAGAGAGCCAAGTTGTTGCATGCATAGAGAGATCATTCTTTTTTTTTTTTTTTTAAATGGTGAGTAATATTCCATGCTGTGGACTCATCAGTTTGTGTGACCATTCATCCAGTGAAGAACATTTGGTGGTTGTTCCCAGTTTGGCCCTATTATGGCTAATACAGCTATAAGCATTTGTTTTTTTTTTCTTTTTTTGGAAGTATCGACGTTTGAACTCAGCACCTCATGCTTGCTAGGTAGCCACTCTACCACTTGAGCCACTCCACCTCCGTAAGGACTCAAGATTGCTTTTTTTTTTTTTTTCTGAGTGAACCTAAGTTTTCTTATCTCTGGGACAAATGCCCCAAACTAAAAATGCTGAATTGTATGTTAACCATATATTAATTTCATAAGAAAGGACCAAACTATTTTTCAGAGTGGCTAATACCATTTTACATTCACACCAGCAACACAATGCAATGAGTAATTCCATCTCTCCACATCCTCACCAGCATTTGGCATTATAAGCTACTTTTTTTCTTCTCTTTTTTTTTGTGGACTGGGGTTTGAACTCAAGGCCTATACCTTGAGCCACTCCACCAGCCCTTTATTGTGATGGGTTTTTTGAGATAAGGTCTCATGAACTATTTGCCCAGGGATGGCTTCAACCGAAATCCTCCTGATATCTGCCTCATGAGTAGCTAGGATTACAGGTGTGAGCCACCGGCATCTGGCCAATTTATCAATTTTTTTTTTTTTCCTTTTGCAGTACTATGGTCAAATATTATTAGCAGACTACACTTTTTGTTTCATGCCTAAGACCTTTGCCTGGTCATAGTTCCCAAAGATTTTCTTCTGTTTTGTCCCAAAAGTTAGATGAATTTATGTTTTCCATTTAAGTTCCCAATTCATTTTAATCGATTTCTGTATCAGGTGTGCTTTTCAGGTTTATTACTTTTACCTATGATGGCCAATAGTTCTAGCATTACTTGTTCAAAAAGCTATCTTTCTTCTTTGCTTCTGTATCTTTATTAAAATTTAACCATATGGGGGCCAGGCATGATGGTACATACCTATACCAGCTACTCAGGAAGCAGAGATCAGGAGGATCATGATTTGAAGCTAGCATGGGCAAAAAGTTAGTGAGACTCTCTCAAAAACAAGCCAGGAATGGTGGTACAAGTCTACAGTCCCAACTGCTCGGGAGGTTAAGGTAGGAAGATTAAGATCTGAGGCTGGCCAAGGCAAAGTGCAAGATCTTATAAAAAACAAAGCAAAAGCCAGGTGCCAGTTGCTCATGCCTGTAATCCTAGCTATTCAGGAGGCAGGCATCAGGAGGATCAAGGTTTGAAGCCAGCCTGGGCAAATAATTTTCAAGGCTCTATCCTGAAAAAACAAACCGGGGTTGGGGATTTAGCTCAGTGGAAGAGCACTTGCCTGGCAAGTGCAAGGCCCCGAGTTCGGTCCCTAGCACCGAAAAAAAAGGGAAAAAATAGAAAAAAAAAAAAGCAAAACAAAAAAGACAAAAAAAAAAACAAGGCAACTGAAAAAACAAACCACAAAAAAGAGCTGGTGGAGTAGCTCAAGTGGTAGAGCACCTGTCTAGCAAGCATGAGGCCCTGAGTTCAAACTTTAGTGCTACAAAAAAAAAAAAGAAAGAAATCTATAAACAAATCTGGGAAGACGTGATGTCTTCCCAGACATCAAGATTCTGTGTAGAATCTCCCAATCCCAGAACAAAGTGGGTCTCTCTTTATTTGGATCTTTGATCATGTTCATCAGCAATTTTTAATCTTCCACATACAATCCTGTACTTGCTGTATTAGACTCACCAACGTATTTCATTTTCTTTGGAGCAACTGTAAGGTGCTGTTTTAATTTTGGTTTCCATGTATTCCTTGTGAGCATAGAGAAATAAATTGATTTTTATGTGCCAATCTTGTATCCTGTAATCTTGCTGAAGTCTCTTATTAGTTCTGGGAGTTTGTAATTATTTTTTATTTGCTTGTTTTTGTCTGTCACCCTCATCTGATAAGAGCCTGTACCTGTTTGGTCCCCAGTACCAGCACAATGCCTAACCCGCAGGAGATGCACAATAGCCTGACTTGTGAAATAAGGTTTAGAATGACTGTCGCTTTGCTTAGTTCCTGTACTGTGGAAGTCTTGGGATAACCCTCAAGACACAGTCAATTCTTAACCCAGTTCTGTCCTTGAACCAGCATGAAGCAGGTCATCACCCACCCTCCATGCCCTGCCCAGTGCAGGGGCCAAAGCTTCTATACCACAGCCTGACCAGGGCTGGCCACAAGCACCCCTTCCACACGCTGCAGCATCCTTCACAGCCTCCAGGCCTCTGGTGAGGTTCTGGAAGACTTTGTGACCTATCCGTGTAAGCCAAGCAGCACTCCCATCAACACCTCATCTATTTTAATTCCAGGGACCACAAGCTGCCACCAGTCAAAGGCTCTGGTTTGCGCTCCAGCCCTGTGGCTTCTTGGGATAACTGTGCTCACTCTGTGTATTGGGCTTAGTGGAGCTTCCACCCATCCTAACCCCCCTTCTTCCCCAAGATTTGAGAAGCCTAGTTCCCTGACAGCAGTGTTCATTCTGGTGGTTCTCCCAAGATGGCCCCCAGACCAGAGCATCAGCAACACTCAGGAATTGGTCAGAAATGCAAACTCTCAGCACACCTCTAAACACCTACTGAACAAGAACTCCAAGAGATCTTGATACCTGCCCAAGTTTGAGAACCATTAGGCTTCTCACTCTCACTCCTGAAGGTTTATGTTGTGGTTGTTGTTTTTTGTGTCTTTTTTCCAGATGGGATCTGGCCTTGAACTCCTGGGCTCAAGTGATCCTCCCACCTCAGCCTCTCCAGCAGCAGGGACTACAGACACATACCATGGAGCTCATCTCCCAGAATTTTTAAAAAGACATCTACATCAACAGTTCCCAAATGTGTCTATACACTGAAATCACCTGGGCAGGCATGGTGGCTTATGCCTGTAATCCTAGCTACTCAGAAGGCAAAGACTGGTAGGATCATGGTTTGAGGTCAGCCTGGACAAAAAGTTAGTGAGACCCCCATCTCAACAAATAAGCCAGGTATGGTGGTACATACCTGTAAATCCAGTTACACAGGAGGCAAAGGTAGGAGGATTATGGTCTGGGCCAGCCTCGGTGGGGGGGAGGAAGGGAGAGGAAGGGAAGGGAGAGGAGGAAAGGCCCTGAGTTCAAATCCTGGTATCTTAAAAAAAAATTTTAAAAACCAAGAGAACAAAACAAAACCACTGAGGCCTGTGTCCCCATCACCAGGGAATGCTCATCAGCCTGCAGAAGGCACAGTTGGGGAATCTTTAAAAGTTCCCCAGGTGACTAACATGCAAACAACTGTGTGAACAGCTGACCTGGGCCAATAAAGTTAGAATCTGGAGAAGTGGGACCCAAGCATGTTTTCTTTTTAAGTTTCCCAGACAATTCAAACATGCAGCTGGGGTTGAATCGCTGGTGTTGCCTCTAGTCCAGAATCCACCATATTCTTGCCTATGAGGCGCAGCCTGCAATAGGTATTTCCAAGTCTGCCTCCCAGCCAACTGCTCACTGTTTCTACCCTGTCTCTCACTGCCCAGGACCTTCCTACCAATACAGCTCCCACCAATCTAACTCAACATATCAACACAGGCAGGGACCCAGCTGCCAATGCACAGAACACAAGGGATTTCTAGGAGTTATCCTTCAACTTTTCCTCTGGGCTGCCTTTCAGTCATTTTAACCATTCAGCCCAACATCACCTGAACGCCTCAGATTTCCTGAAGGCCTCGGTCCAAAATGAGGGGATCAGAGACAAACAAAGCTTTGGCCTGCCAGGAACCACCAATCTTCCCCAGCAAGACAGCTTTTTTTTTTTTTTTTGATGGGACTAGGATTTGAACTCAAGGCTCCATGCTTACAAAGCAGGTGCTCTACCACTTGAGCCACACTTCCAGCCCTTTTTATTTATTTATCTATTTATTTGGCAGTTCTGAGGTCTGAACTCAGGGACTCATGCTTGCTAGGCAGGTGCTCTACTGCTTGAGCCACTGCGCTAGGCTACTATACAGCTTTTTCCAAGGCAGGCCACATGCCCTGCAAAAATGCTCATTGCACATCAGCATTAATTTGGATTAATTGGGCATCAAACTTTTGGTGACAGAACCTGTCCCTTCCCTGAGTTTTAAAGTGCTAGCCATTAACTATCTAGCACGGAAGTCTAGAGACCAAGAAAGTCATCTTAGGCTCTTCACAACGACATTCCACCTGGTAGGATGGCTCTTCTCACATTTCTTCTCTCTGTCTCTTTTTTTTGGTGGTTCTGGGGTTTGAATCCAGATGCTTGTGCTTGCTAGGCAGACACTACCACTTGAGCCACACCCCTAGCTCATTTCTTCTTCATCATGCCTCCCACTCTCTCACCTACCCTAGATCAGCCCCACACCAGCACCCCTAGATTCCCTCCTTGGTGTCTTCAGCTCAGCTGTCCTGCATACCTCTACTCCAATGCCTGTAAGTCCACTTTTACAATGGCCTCCCACCTCAAGGGAGGCAATAGGGCAGACAAGTTAGAGTTATGTTCTCAGACATGACCTCCAGTGCTTGGTCTGCCATTCACCAGCTGCAGGACCTTGAGCAAATCATTTACCCAGAGTCCTGATTTCTTCATCTATAAAATGATAATTGCAACAGCAGTGCACTCACTCATTAGGGACTGTGAAGAACAAATGAAATAATGTACTTTGAAGGACTGAGTACAGTGCTGGTTCACAGGAAGCACTCGGTGAAACCTAACTGGTCCCTCAATGCCAAGGCCACCTCCTCCAGGGCTTTCTAGCATCACCGTGATCTCTCCCATAGTAAGCACAGCAGCTGCAATCTGGCCAGCTTCCCATGGGCTCCCTCTGCATGTTGGTTTCAGAAGCTCCCTAAACCCCAAGCCAATCTGCTTCCTGCTAAATATTCTCTCTTGGTGTTGCCTTCCTGTGTGCTTACACACCCCTCATATCCACCTTCTTTCCCACCAGGCTCCCTAGAAGTCACACTTAAGGGCAGGGCCCTTGCCTCACTCATATCTGTATCATCTGACACCCAGTAGGCACTCAGTGGCATTTGCTAAACCTCACATTGAGCACCTAGTAGGCACTCAGCCAGGGCTTGATGGATTACATGATGGATTACAAGCTCAGATCCCCAACCTGTGAAAGCAAGCATCATGCTGGATAAACCTTGCCAAGAGAATGTGTTAAGGAAACAGAAAGGACCAGACCACTCCAAAGACCTCTGTGATGGCAGCATCATTCATCGAACTGCCACAAACAGTCCAGGAGAGAGGTCAGCCTCAATTGGCTAGAAAACGCCAGTCATCTTCCATCTCTTTTCCAACCCAAATGATGTGGCATAGTGTAAGTAAGTGCTCCTTTTGGTGAGTCGTCTGTCCCCTACTGCTGCAGGTTGTAATGAAGCACCAGGTTCTGGGTCAGAAACCCAGGGGCTGCAGCCTCACCTCTGCCACTTGCTCCTTGCAGGCTAAAGCAAGGGGGGGACTAACAATCTCTAATCCCCAGTGTCAAGGGAGAGATTACCCATAACCCACAGGGTCTGCAGCGCTCAGCAGCCCTGCCCTGTTCTCTCTTGCCCTATCCTGAAGTGATATGGGAAACAGAGAAGACTGTTCTAGGACTGGAAGTCCTGAGCCTCTCCTTCCCGTGGTCCCATGCTGCCCTCTTCACACCTGAGCAATGTGGGCAGGAGCTGGAAAGTCCTCCTGCCTATCACCTTCCTCCCCAAGCACTCGTACAAACCTCCCAATGCCGGTGGACAGGATGGCAGTGGAGGTCTTCACTTCCTCATAGACGTCGGCGCCATTCAAGGGGAAAGCTGAGAACTGGGCCAGCAGCACCCGCCTCAGGGCGACCAGGGCCTGCCAAAGGGGGCTGGCACTCAGGCTCCAGATCCACCAGGCCGCTGGGCGTCCCAGGTCTCCCGCGCGCCCTCTTATGCACCCCGGGGGACTCTATGCTCTTAGGGATGGGCACTGGAAGACACCAGGGGCGCGTGCAGACCGCGAGCTCACCTTATAGGACAAGCCACACTTCTGGGCGACCTCCTCCAGGTCTGCAGCTGCCAGATCCACCACTGAAAACAAAACACGTGGAGCCGATGAGCACCGCGGGCAGCCTGGGCTTCCCACGCTTGATTTTTCCTCCTCTGTGAGACAGGGGACAGCATCCATTCTACCTTGAAGCAGGCAGGCTCAGGGGCCCTTGTGAAACCACAGCTGCGGGACCGTCGGTCCACGCTGCCCTCATCGCACCTGAGCTCTGGGGACTCGAGCATGGCGTGGCGCCTGGGGGCGCACAGTGGGGTCCTACCCCGACCCCTCGCTTGGCCTCCCGCGCTCCCCAACTCCCCCAGCCTCCCCAAGAGGGTGTGGAAGCTCAGGAGGGGACTGGCCGAGCAGACGCGAGGGAAGAGAAGCTCCCCAGCGCGCCCACGCGGTCACCTGTCCTGATCCCGCCGCTCCTCAGAAGCTGGACCATCTCCTCGGTGAGGCCCGGGCACAGTCCGGCCTTCAGCACCCCCATGTTCCCTGCAGGCCCGGACCAGCCCTGGGCGGGCTCGGGGGCTGCCAGTCACTTAGGCATCCGCCGGGCCTCGCCAGACGCCCCTCCACGCCCCTTTCTGGGAAGGGCCGGCGCACGCTGGCCACTTGCAGGGGGGAGGGAGGGCGCCGCCCTCCCGGAACCCGCGGATCGGGGGCGCGCAGGGGCCGTCTGCCTTGGTCGCACCACCCCTTCCTGGTTCGGGCTCGCGCGCGGCCGGGACCTGGCCTGCACCGCCACCTGCTGGACGGCACCGGCAGAACCGCGGCGACCTGCCCATGTGGCCTGGCCGCCACTGCCACCCACGAGCCACGGAATGACACCTGATCCCGCGTCCCATGGCTCCTGCGCGCAACGCGCGATCTGCCTCCACCTTCTTCCCCAAAACACACACCGACTTTACAATGAGTCTTCTGTGTGCCAGCTTCGGTTCTCAACACGGGACAGAAAGTTAAGCAAGAGGGACAATCTCTTACCTTCAAGAAGCTTACATGTTAGGGAGGGAGACAGACAATGAAAAAGAAATCAGTCAGGGCTGGCGGAGTAGCTGAAGTGGTAGCGCGCCTGCCTAGCAAGTGTGAAGCCCTAGTTCAACCCCCAATACCGCAAAAATAAATCAGGTCATTTCCAGATTATATGGCAGGTGCTAAGATGCAGCTAAACACATAGAGGACACTTAGGGTGCAAAGAAAAATAAGAACACACAAAAATATAATTTGCTATTTTGAAATGCCCTTTACTTCGCCACATCAACTAGCAGAAAGAAAAAAACAAAACTTCACAAACCTGAGAAAGGAGGTGCTATTTATATCCATATTTTATGCATAAGGGAACCCAGGATCAGCTCTGTTGTCACTGGAGCCAGGGATGCTCCGGAGAAGAGGTCCCCAACATGGAGGAGGCCTGACCCTTGGGTACCAAGTTCCTGATGTTGTCACAAAAAAAGAATTTTAGGATGCATGGAGGTAGAAACCAAAAGTTTATTAGTAAAGCAACAGAAAGCAAAATATAGTACACAACCCAGGTTTGGGTGTGGGCACATTTGATAACAGGTGCAATGAGTGCTTAAAGTCTGAGTTACTTGTGGTAAAAAAGTGGGATTTGACCCTAATTTACCCAGGGATGAGTGCTCGAGCCCCTTTGTTCTCAACTCCTGGTATCTTCTGTCTTGCTGTCACACTGCCTTTTCAGCTGGGCCCAGGGATTATAAAGTCAGCCTGTTTACTAAATCTGAAGACATAATGATACCATGCCCAAGCATCCCTCTAAAAGAGGTTGGGTGTAAAAAAAAAAAAAAAAAGAGGTTGGGTGTAGTCAGGTGCTCCTTTTAGGTCAAGTGCCCATCCTTGAGAAAAATATCTTTTCTTTGGAAACACTGTTGTGATCAAATGAGTCATCTTCCGGAAGATGTTTTGTTTTTTTAAGCTTTTCTATTTCTTTTCCCAGGCTGGTGTCATTCTCTAAGATATTTTTGGTCAGTTCTCAGAGTGTACCAATCATCTGGCAATCGGGCAAGGTCAGAGGAGAATGCTTTTTTTTTTTTCCTTTCTTTTTTACTAAATGTTGCAGCTTTTTGAGGGGGTGTAAGGCTCAAAGCAAAGAAAATAGTGCCTGTGTGCTTTTAATCAAGCCATTTATTCATACAATGTTTATCTCTGAGTTCCTAGCTTCTGTTTCCCATGCATCATTTTCCCTCATCTAGCCTGCCTCAGAGTCACTTGCCAAAAGTTACACAGCTAGTAAACAGGGAATTTCAAATTTACATCTGAGCCCTGCCTGGAGCAGTTTTGTAATCCCAGCTACTCCAGAGGAGGCAGAAGCAGGAGAATCCAGAATTCAAGGCCAACCTGGACAAAGGTAAAAACTCAGAGCCAAAAACATAAACAAAAGAGCCAGGCACAATGGCTCGCACCTGTAATCCTAGCTACTTGGAAGGCAGAGTTCAGGAGGATCATTTGAAGCCAGCCCTGACAAATAGTTCATGAGACCCTATCTTGGGCTGATGGAGTGGTTCAAGTGGTAGTGCGCCTGTCTAGCAAGTGTGAAGCCCTGAGTTCAAATCTTAGTACCACCAAAAAACAAAAAGGTTGGGGGCATGGTTGTCTGGCTCAAGAGCTGGGGGGAGGGGCTGGATTCAATCCCCAGTACCACAAACAAACAAACAAACACTATCTAAGTGCAAAGCCAGTGCTGTTTTAAAAGCCAAGAGCCTTTCTCCCACCCTGCCTCACATCCCCCGAAGAAGGGGGTGTTTTCTGTCTGTGGTGTGGTTTCCTTAAAAGCAGGGATAATGTCTGGCACATTTATTAAATCTCTCCTCAGGGCCCACCATTGTCACTCAGCACTAAAAGTACTTGAGAGTAAAGGTGTGGCCCATTTGGAATTCTGGAGTAGAAACTGGTTACATGTGAGCTATGCACCCTCAGGAATAATCTGGGCTTTCCTGGTGCCTGCATGCCTGGACACAGTGGGCTTTGCTGCCTACCATGTGAGGATACAGAGCCTTCTTCCCCAGGGCCCCTCCACTGCTGCCTCTCTCCATCCAGGTGGTCTCTCCTTCTAGGGCAGTACCACAGGGCACAGGTGTGAAGCATTTGGAGGTCCTCAAAGAAGGATAGGGCAACTGTGGCCTGGCCATAATGTGTTAGAGCTGGAAGACCTAAGGGGCCTTGAAGTTTGTTCCTTGGCCCTGCCCCACCCATGATCCTGGCTCAAGGTCTGCACATCTGCATAGCAAGGCTCAAGTCAAGGGGAGGGAGGCCCCTAATTGTTACACTGTGATGATTATGAAGTCAGCTCCTTGCAGCCCCATCCCACCCAAACTAAGAGTGGGACCACTGCCTGCACAGTTTCTCTCTGCTTCCTGTCAGCTAGGTTGTCCTGCATGATGGTGGTTGTGATCCCAAACAAACCAGATGGCATCAGAGGCGCTCTGTAAAGTGAAGGGTGGGGAGGACATAGTGAACAAGGAAACCCTCAACACTAGGAATGCACTGGAACAACTGCCGAAGCCCTCGCCAAACCCCAGGTTTATGAACCGGACCATGGCTACCAAAGGACTCCCTCTTCCCTCAACAGGCAGTTTGGTTAACTTCTTGGAGGAAGATACCATCAATCTTGTGTAAGATTCAAGTTCAAAGCTGGTCCCTTGCTCTCTGGGAAAAAAGCATGTGGGCAGGATGGATGTCTGTTTATCTCCAGCCCCACTTTAGTTCTTGGACCATGTGGGCCATCCACTCCAGGAGGCCTTCCTGGATTACAGACAGTTTTGACCATTCTCTGCATCCTGCTTTGTGTGGCTAGGAGCTCAACACCAGCACACACTCACACACATGCACAAACACCCATGGCTCCTCTCCCTCAATCCTCCCCTTTTGATGCCTTCGCCTGTCTGACAATGTTCCCCTGCCTTCCTTCTGATGGAAGTTCACTTAGTGAGTCTCCTTTCCTCTACTTCATGTCACAAAACATTTCCCCAGCCCAGGGTTAAGTTTCGGGAATGCAGAGCCAGGAAGTATAGTCTTTAAGGAGTATCTGGTCTGGCCCATGGGGTAGGAGGGTAGCTGATACACGGCAATACTGACAATGATATAAATGGTCTAGTAAGCTATGACAGGGCACCTATGAGGACCAGAGTTGCTTCTGAGGGGCTGGTATAGCTTGGGGGAGGCTTCTTGGAGGAAGGGATATTTGGGCAGAATCTTCAGGGAAGGGGGGTTGGTGTAGGATAATGTGGGCTGAGGGAGTTGTATGCAGAGCAGTCAGACAGTCCCACATTTTAAAAGGGCCTGTGTTGAGTTTAATGCCATGCTGTCACTATCTTGAAATTTCTTAGTTGGGGGGTGTTACAGAATCTTGTTATGCAGCCCAGGCTGGCCTTGAAATCACAATTCTCCTGTCTCAGTCCCCCAAGTGCTAGGATTACAGGCATGTGCACCACAGCTTTTTTTTTTTTAATTTTATTATTCATATGTGCATACAAGGCTTGGGTCATTTCTCCCACCTGCCCCCACCCCCTCCCTTACCACCCACTCCGCCCCCTCCCTCTCCCCTCCACCCCCTCAATACCCAGCAGAAACTATTTTGCCCTTATTTCTAATTTTGTTGTAGAGAGAGTATAAGCAATAATAGGAAGGAACAAGGGGTTTTTGCTGGTTGAGATAAGGGTAGCTATACAGGGCATTGACTCACATTGATTTCCTGTGTGTGGGTGTTACCTTCTAGGTTAATTCTTTTTTACCTAACCTTTTCTCTCATTCCTGTTCCCCTTTTCCTATTGGCCTCAGTTGCTTTTAAGGTATCTGCTTTAGTTTCTCTGCGTTAAGGGCAACAAATGCTAGCTAAGTTTTTAGGTGTCTTACCTATCCTCACCCCTCCCTTGTGTGCTCTCGCTTTTATCATGTGCTTATAGCCCAATCCCATTGTTGTGTTTGCCCTTGATCTAATGTCCACATATGAGGGAGAACATACGATTTTTGGTCTTTTGGGCCAGGCTAACCTCACTCAGAATGATGTTCTCCAAGTCCATCCATTTACCAGCGAATGATAACATTTCGTTCTTCTTCATGGCTGCATAAAATTCCATTGTGTATAGATACTGCATTTTCTTAATCCATTCGTCAGTGGTGGGGCATCTTGGCTGTTTCCATAACTTGGCTATTGTGAATAGTGCTGCAATAAACATGGGTGTGCAGGTGCCTCTGGAGTAACCTGTGTCACAGTCTTCTGGGTATATCCCCGAGAGTGCACCACAGCTTTTGAATAAGTGGCTTGGCACTTCAATTTCCACTGGGCCCCACAAACTGCGTACCTGATCTCAGTGATACAAGAGGGATATGCTGTCCATTCCCCTAGGGGCTTGTAAGTAAGGTCTGGCTAAAGTGACCGTTCCCTATAGGAAACTTCATGGTACAGTGGAAAAGTCTTGGACAAGGAGCCCAAGTTCAAATCCAAGTTCTACCACTTAGATAAATGGCCTCAGACAAACTCATTAAGTTCAGCCCCCCCCAGTCCCTCATTTGTGAAATGGGGTTAAAGCCCATCCCCAGGGCTGTTGGGAAGAGCTGAAAGAGGATGTGTCCAGAAAGTAGCACAGTGCCTGGCAGCCTTCTATGCCCACTTCACACCAGCATTTCCAGAAGTGACTCTGAAATACAGAATGACACCAACCTCCAGACTCTTCAGGCTACAAAAACAGAACATTTGAGGAGGGGGCACTTGTTCCAAATGTCTATTAAGGACATTAATGTCCATTAAGAGGGGGTCTGGGCTGATGGAGATTTCTTTTTTTTTTTCATTTTCTTTTTTTCTTTTTTTGTGTTACTGGAGTTTGAACTCAGGGCCTCATGCTTGCTAAGCAGGTCCTCTACCACTGAGACACTCCACAGCCCTGTTTTTGTGTTGAGTTATTTTTGAGATGGAGTCTGTTGAACTCCTTACTCAAGCTGGTTTCGAACTGCAATCCTCCAGATCTCTGCCTCCTGAGTAGCTAGGAGTACAGGTCTGAGCCATGGGTGCCGGGCTCTGATGGAGATTTCTCAGGAGGAGGTCAATGGGTGGAAAATATGGGCCATCAATCAACCATGAAGTGGGAGGCTGCCCTGGACTAAGGGGTCCACAAACTATGGACTATGATCTGCTAATGGGTCAGGAAATCCTTCTAGCTGAAGAAAAAACACTGTGATAAAAATGAGTTACAATACATTCAGAAATTGCAGACCACATCTCACACAGAGTAAGGACTAGTGTGTGAAATGTTTTAGCTATGTATGTGCATGGCTTACCAAGTGGCCATGTAAGATGCATTTCTTGCTTTGGGCCAAGGTAAAAAGATTTGAAATCCAACCTTTTTGGATTGGTGCGCTTCATCAGTAAAAACAATTTAAATAGTGAGGATCATGTATCAAGATTTTTCTTTGTAATAGCAAAGAACCACTAATGATACAAATATCTGTGCAATGGAAAACCATAAAACATTAAAATGACTGAACCAGAGCTGCATGTATCAATATAGATGAATCAAAACACAACATTGAGTAAAAAAAAGAGATATGTACTGAATAATACCTTTTGTTTTTACAAACTCTAAAAACATACAAAAATATAGATCTTGCCCAGGGATAACATACATATGTAATAACCCCAAAAAAGACACACAGTGAATAATGAATAGAAAGCTTACAAACACTCTACTGGTTACCTCTCGGACAGGATGTGTGGTGTGGTGAGAGAAGGATCCAGTGGGTTCTAACTATGTTAACCAGGTTTTGTTTCTGAAGCTGGATGAGGGGGTACATGACAACTTAATACATTGCTCTAGCTGGGCACAGTGGCTTATGTCTATAACCCTAGCTACTTGGGAGGCAGAAATCACGAGGATCAAGGTTCAAAGCCAGCTTGGCTAAATAGTTCACATGAGACCGTATCTCAAAAATACCTAACACAAAACAGACTGGGGAAGTGACTCAAGTGGTAGAATACCTGCCTAGCAAACTTGAGGCCCTGAGTTCAAACCCTAGTACCACCAAAAAAAAAAGAAAAAAAATATATATAAATATCTTGCTCTTGGTGTATATATTTAAAATATTTCATAATTTAAGAAAAACAGAATGGAAGAAAGAGGGTTTGAGCATTCATTCAATATATGTACTGTATGTAATCTAGAATACTATTAAATGTACACACTGTATATTAATATTGTAGGATATTATTAAAATGTAAATAAATATAAATTACATTAGATATTAAAAAATGGTAAATATTAGGAAAGCTCAGTTTATTATTTTCTTGTTGGATATCTGTAGGTATTTTTCACATTCCAGTAAGTCACTGGTCTCCTCTAGGGCTCTTGCACCCTACTTAGGAAGGAGGACTTAAAGTTTTAGCAATTTCTCAAATTGTGGTTCTTTTTTTTTCTTTTGCTGTACTGGGGCTTGAACTCAGGGCCTTTACCTTGAGCCACTCCACCAGCCCAATTTTTTGTGATAGGATTGTTCAAAATAGGGTCTCACAATCTATTTTCCCCAGCTGGCTTTGAACTGCAATCCTCTTGATCTTTGCTCCCTGAGTAGCTAGGATTACAGGTGTGAGACACGGCACCCAGCAAATTGTGGTTCTCAAAGTCTGCATCACAATCCATCTAAGAATCTTATTTAAAATGCAGCTTCCTGGTCCAGGCCTGGTGGCTCACACCTGTAATCCCAGATACTTGGGAGGCAGAGACCAGGAGGATTGCAGTTTGAGGCCAGCCCAAGAAAAAGTTAGCAAGAGCCCATCTCAACAAACATGTCTGGCATGGAGTGCATACCTGAAATCCCAGCTACACGGGAGGTATAGGCAGGAAATCAAAATCTGAGGCTTGCCCTAGTCAAAAACATGAGACACTATCCAAAAAATAACTAAAAGCAAAAACAGCTGATGTACACCACTTAAGTGTTAGAGTGCCTGCTAGCAAGTATGAAGCTCTGAGTTCAAACACCAGTACCACCAAAAAAAAGCAGCTTCCCTTGGGAGCGTAGTAAGCACTTTGGTGGGTTTAACACACTGCTGCAGAGTGGTAAGTGTTCAAAGCTGTTTAGAAGCAGCGGGATGCTGGTAAGGCAGGCTCCAGACATGCACTCGGGTCCTTAGGCTGAAAGGGTTGGGGTGGCTTCCTTCATCTGGCTCTCTTGTCTCTGCCCTTCTCCAGGAAGCCGATGCCAATGGAGGATTCTGAATACAGCTCTGACGACACCAGCATGTCCCCCATCTCCTCTACCCTGCTGAACCCCATCAAACTGACTGTGACACAGCCCAACAGCAGCTTCTTTGCGGGGATGCTGGAGGGTGAGCTGAACAAACTCAACTTGTCCTCCACAGCCAAGAACACAGACAAGGGGGACCTGGCCCTCTGCCCCAACCCATGTAAATCCCAAATAGCCTCCAGGGGCCTGCTGGATCTTGACAACCCCGCCCTGGACACAGACACCTCCTCCACCCATTCAGAGTCCTCTGTGGTCATGGATGTGCCAGAGACCCCTTTCATCTGTGAACACACCGTCAGCGACTCCACAGCTGTGGTGCGTTTCTTGCGTACATGCATCTGGTAAAGGCTGACTGCGCCAGCACCGAGTGGAACGTGAAGATGCTGTCACTGCATCCTGACTTCAAGTTCATGGTTTAGGAAGGGAGAGAAGGAGGGTGTGTCTGTAGAGAACCCAGCACAAAACAGAAAGGATTCAATTTGCTGTCCTGAGTAATGCAGGAAAGATTCAGATCAGTGCCACCAGGTTTTCAGAAGGAAGGAAATGTTCCTTCCAGCTGCAGGAATAAGCTTGGAGGCTTTTGGCAACTTTTGAGCTGGGTGGCAGAGGCAGGACTTAAACATTTAGAGATGGAGGAGGAAGGCATGCTGTGGGTGGCTGGTCTAAGGAGACTTGCAGCTGGGACAGTGTGGGGAGGAGTGAACAGCAGCCTTGTTTGATGCCAGATACGAATCCAGGACTTCTCAAGTGGTCCTGTCCTACATTCCTCCACTCAAAACCCACACTCAGGCCTCATTCCTAAAGGGCCTGGGTGAGGTCTGAGAATCTGCATTGTTAATGGATTTCTAGGTGATGCTCGTGCTGTGGACCACACATCCAGTAGTATCATCCCAGAGGCTAGGAGGAGGAATAGAGGACATGAGAGGGAGAGAGTAGGTGCAGTCATTTTCCAGTGGTCCTCCAACATCAGGCTACTTCAGAGACTTTTCTACAAAAATTGTATTTTGAAGGTGTGGCTCAAGCAGTAGTGCAAAGCCCTGAGTTCAAACTCCAGTCCCATCAAAATCTATAGATTTTAAAGATGTACAGAAAATCTTTGCACAGTTTTTATCAGGAAATATTATGTATATTTTTTCAGTGTGGGAATGGAACCCAGGACCTAGCAGCATGTGTTAAGCAAACTGCTCTACCACTGAGCTACCGCCAAGTCTGATGGATATAATATGACCTGTATTTTAGAAAGATAAATCTGGAAGCTCCAATTTTTGGATGGGCTGGAGTAGTGTTTCTCAAATTGTGGTCCCCAGATGGGCAGCCTCAGTATCACATGACAATTTGTTAGAAATTTAAATTCTCATCTCCTTTCACTACTTTCGGGTGTACTGAATCAGGAACTGTGGGGGTGGGGCCAGCAATCTGCTGTAATAAGTCTTTAGGGTACTCTAAGATGCACCAAAGTTTGAGAACCACTGGCCTAGGTGGAGGAGAAAAGTGGAAATGGGAATTCAGACAGAAGACAGCAGGCTCAGGAACCTGAAGCATTATAAAATCTTCCCGAGATGCTTAGCCAGGCTTGGCAACCACTGCTATTGTGCAGTGTGTGACTTCTGGAGCTATAGGTTTGAACTTTGGATATCATATTTTTTCAATTTTTTTTTTTGGCAGCACTGGGGTTTGAATTCAGGTCCTCACGCTTGCTAGGCAGGCGCTCTTACCACTTGAGCCACTCCACCAGCCCCTTGGCTGTCACCTAATTGCTGTGTGACCAGGGTACAGTTACTTACCATCTCTGAAACTGTAACCCCATTTGCAATGAGTAAGGTAGACAAGCTGGTCTCCGAGGTACCTCTTAACTGCATCCAGGGCTGGTGGAAGGGCTCAAGTGGTAGAGTGCCTGCCTAGCAAGCAGGAGGTCCTGAGTTCAAACCCCAGTACTGTCAAAAACAAAACAAACAGAAACCCTCAAAGCTATGGACAATCTAGAAGAAATATGGAATGAGGGTGTACTCTAAGGTGGGAAGTGGGGGCTTCCCAGGGAAAGCAGCCCCTGCTGTGGCTCAGGTGCCCTGGGAGGGACAGAAGGCCAGGTGTGAGGAAGCCTTGGGCTCTCTCCTCCCCTAGATCTCCTGGACGTATTCCTTGAGCAAGCAGCAAGTCAGTTTCTACCAGGTCCTGTTACAGGAGGTGGTTAAGAGAACAGATGGTAAGCCACTCAAGACCAAGAACTGTCCATGGATCTTCAACAAAATCTTGGGCACCACTGTCAAGCTGATGGAGCTGAAGCCTAACACGAGTTACTGCCTCACCGTCCGTGCAGCCAACACAGCTGGGGTGGGGAAGTGGTGCAAGCCCTACAAGGTGAGCCCTGAAGAGGGCCAGGGTCAGGGACAGAAGTCAGACCCAGGGAACCTGGGCTTTGGGGGTCAGAACACTCCCATGTCTCAAGCCTCATGTCTTTGCTGGCTTTCCATCCGGGCCAACAAGCATTTATCAGACAGCTTTCTTTTGGAGGTCTAAGTGTTAAGCCGCTCTGGGGTCCACTAAAAATGCAGCATAACTGCAATGTTCACCTTTTAAAGCTGTTGGTCTTTCGATTCCTTTACTAAGTACCAATTGTGAGTGGGCCAAGAACTGCTATGGTTGGGGGTGGCCAGGCCCCAAGTACAGCAAGCCTTTGGCTTGACACAGCCGGGAAGTGTAGGTTTGCATCATGCTTCTTTGGACCTGTGTCCATGACTGGGTTGGGTAAGGTTGTTTAAGATTCTGGAAATCAGACAAAATTGAGGGGGGGCGACGAGACAGCCAGGCTTAGGTCTGAGGCAGCATTCTGAGGGGTCTTATGGTATCATTTCAGTTTGCAACTGTGGCCACTGACTTCAACAGCTTCCCTGAGAACAACCCCATCCAGATCACTGTGCGGCGCAAGGAGCCCCAGCGGAGAATTGTGTTCATTGGTCTGGAAGAGATGCGGAGGCTGGAGGATCTGGAATGCCTATTTCCCTACTAGGGGGAGGACCCAGGGCACCCTTTACCCAATATCAGCCTTGGCCCGGAGTCCTGAGAAACCAGAACCATAAGTTATAATGTACCACCAGCACTATGCCAGAGAGTTGCCTATTACCCTGCCAATCCAGGACCTGGCAGAGGCATGGGAACCCCACCCCTGGGCTAGGGCCAGGGCTGAATGGGAGCTCCATTCACCTGGAGACATCTCAGGCCAAGCCAGGCTCAGCCACTGCCTACAGCTGCCAGGCTCCCTTCTTTCCCATACCTAAGCTGAGCCCAGGTCCCTCATTAAAGAACTGATCATCCAGCACCCCTAAATTCTGTTTCATGCTGTGGACAGCCTCATCTGGATCAGCTGTGCCCACCACCTAGCTTCTGCCAGCACTAAGAGTACAGATGGGTAGGGGTCAGGGAACAGGGTGGCCAGGAAATTGCTTGGATCTGCCATGGCCCTTTCCCTGAGGGGGAAAGAGGCTGATACTAAAACTCTTCACAGGGAAGGCCAGTGACTGTAGACAGAGTAGTGCAGCCAGTGGATTCAGTGCTAGACCTGGGCTTGAGGGCCATGGTGACAAGCGCACAATCTCTGAGGCAGGGCCTGGCTGAAGTGTGGCTCTTCCTCTCCCTTGATGTGAGGGCACGGATGGCCCCTTCAGCTTTGTGGACTCAGGTGGCCCATCGAAAGTATGAAGACATGAGACTTCCAGACATAGATGCGGGTTACTGTGACGTGGCAGAACAAGCATTTGGCGCCATATAGCTCAATGACTGGTGGCTCCCTCAGTCCTCACACAGCCCCACTACAGATTGGTAAGGAGTAAGCCAAAAACCACAGCAAGGTGACCTGCAAAATCCTAACAGCACAGATGGGGTGGGGAAAGTGACCAGACATTAGAAGTGCTGTGGCCCTGAGCAGTACCCACAAGGAAGACTGGAGGCCTAATGGGAGCAGATCATGCCATGCTCAACTCAGCATCGGTAGCAGGTGCGTGCAAGATGAGGTTTTGGTCAAGGGCCTGAGGAGGTCCTGGCAGGGATTCTCTTTATTATTTTAAGGTTGCACAGGACAGAAAATCATCCTCCCCATCACACCATGCCTGTGTCTGCTGGAGGTCTCACAGCACTGCCCCACACCACTGCCACCCTGCTAGAGGGAGTCCTCTGAGGTCAAGGTCTTTCTCTCTGGCCCGAGAGTACAGTGCTCCATGTTCCAAAGGGGACTCTAGTCCCTATGGCAGGGCTGGCCAGAACTTTGTGACAGTAACAGTTGGCTGTGCTGTCTCATACCGGCGCCTTCGCAAGCATGGCTGTGGAACTGCTCTCTAGCTGTATATGATTCTGGTTCATATAAAGAGGCCCATGTGGAGGGAAAGGTAACTTCCTGGTCAGTACAGGTTGCTGTCATCCAGTGCACTGGAGAGACAGACAGATTTAGCAGTCCTTGGCTGAGCCCTGGGCTTTTACATAGAATTGTAACTCAAACACAAATAGAAGTTATTTATTTGGCCACAGAACCTGGGGTCTGAGCCCAAACAGAACTGACATTTGGAAAAGGAGGCAGGGGTACAGTGGAGGCTGTGCCTGGAGCCTGGCCTCCCCACTGCTGCCGACACAAGCAAGGGACAGAGTGGTGCCCATGGCTGAGTTCAGCAATAATCTTCTGCACCTCCAGGCCACAGGTAGGAACCTGTGGGGAGACTCCAACGGTGTCCACATCTTCTGGTCACTGCTGGTGAGGAAGGTGAGGTGAGCCACCCAGTCTTTGTTTTCTGGCAGGGGCCCAAGTCCAAGTGGGGTTCAGAGAACTGTCAGCTCTTCATCTTCTCCATCTGCAGAGAAGGGAGGGAATTAGGACAGGAATACACAGCTAATCCAGTGTCCTCAAGAGTCTGGCTCTTACCCTTGCTTTGGCAAGGCAAAATGAGCTATGTACCCACTGACTGACTCAGCAGGAACCTCCCCAAGGATGGCCCTGGGATGCTCACCACCAAGCAGTGACAACCTTCACAAGCACACAGTGCTTTAGGTATCAGAGTGGGATCACCTCCTATCTGTGATCCTATCTATGTAGGTTTGGTAATTCCCAAGAGACACGTTAATAGGTTCTCTGTGATTATACATGGAAAGGCTGATCCAAGAAGGATTCCAAAGTCCAGCACTTCACTAAAGAACTACTGCATTGTGCTGAGATCTGGACGTGCCTGCTGGAGAGCAGCCCAAGTGACACCAGGAAAGTCCTTCAGAATTCCACGCCATGGGGAAAGTGCAGGGGGGGATGACTGACTGATGACTGACTGATTTAAGGACAGAAGAGCCAAGCACTCCAACCTCGACCCTCTACACTCACATCCGTAGGCACTTGTCCTTCCCACCACTTGCCACTCTCTGGCCATCTGGACTCCAGTCGACAGCATATACCTAAATGGAGGAGGGGGAAAGGACAGTGAAGTGGCAAGGGCAGGAAGGCCAGGCACAAATCCCAGCCCCCTCTGCCCTTGGGACCAGCCCCACCTCATCGGCATGGCCTGGCAGGTCTGTGGCCAGCTTCTGTGCCTTCACATCCCACACCTTCAAGGTGCTGTCACTGCTGCCACTAACCAGGAGCCGGCTGTCAGCTGACCATGCAATCTGGTACACGGCAGCCACATGACCACGCAGAGAAGCCAGGTACCTGAGCCAGGGGAAGATGATAATGGACATTAGGTCTTTAAGCATGTCCCCCATACCTACCACACAGGTTTTCAACCTTGGCTATCTGCTAGAATTGTCTGGTAACTTTTACAAAATAGTGCTGCCTGGCTCCCATGCCAGACAATTTCTCCTGGTGAGTTGCTTCTAGGCTGCCTCTTGCCAGGCCTCCATACCTGCATGACTCTGCATGCTGAGAAACCACTTCGGCCACCTGCTTAGCCCATCTGCCTGACACCCCCCAGCACAGCAGTTGCTGCTGACAGGTGGCATAGATTAACAGTAGGCCAGGCCCACCTGGAACTCTGAAATTAGTACAGCCTAACTGTATTTTTGAACAAGCCATTAAGCTCCCTGAGACTGTTTCCTTATTAAAAACACACAAACAAAAAGCAACCGCTGAAGATATGGCTAAAGGGATAGAGCATCTGCCTAGCTAGCACAAGGCCCTGAGTTCAAACCTCAGTTAACCACCAAAAAAATTTAAAAGAGGGAACTGAACTACCCATTTCAAAGAACTGCTGCACAAATACACAACGAGGGACACAGCAGTTTCCCCTACTCAAAACTTTTCTTGTGCAAGTCTTTCCCTCCCTTTCAACTCAATTAGTCCCAAGTACAATGTGCTTCCTTTCACCGGGGTTTCTTCGGTTGCTAGCACAATCTCCTGGGGACCCTACTACAATGTGGATTCTGATTCCCAAGGTCAGGAATGGGGCCTCAACTCTGCATTTCTATCAAACTCCCAGGAGACACCAATGCCACTGGTATGTGGACCATAAACCTACCTTCTCTTGGGCTGCCGCATCCCCAGCCCTTTGGCCATCTCTAACATCATTTCTTTCCTTCAATAGGAAACTCAGCAGTGCCCACTTAGTGCTGATCCTAAAAACCATTTCATTAATCCTGTATAGGTGCTGACGGGGTGTCTGCATAGTTTTTATTGTGTTTTTGGTGGTACTGGGGTTTGAACTCTGGGCATGGGCTTGCTAGGCAGGGGCCCTATCAGTTAAGCCATGTCCCCATCCTTTTTGCTTTAGTTATGCTTCAGATAGGGTCTTGTGTTTTTGCCAGGGCCAGCTGGACCTTGATCCTCCTACATATGGCCTACTGTGTAGCTGGGATGTCAGATGCACACCACTACACCGAGCTTATTGGTTGAGATGGGGGTCTCACTAACTTTTGCACAGGCTGGCTTCAAATGACAATTATCCAAATCTCTGCCTCCTGAGTAGCTGAGATTACAGATGTGAGTCTGGCTTCATGCTCAGGAAATGCAGAAGCAGCAGAGGCTTGGGAAATCCAGGCCCTTCTCAGGGCCACATAGGTTGTGAGTGAACTCCTTCCACTTAGAGGGGAATGGTCCTTGCCCCTCAACTCACTTGCCCGTCCTGCCATCCCACAGCTTGATGGACTTGTCAAAGGAGGCACTGGCCACGATGCGAGAGTCAGGAGAGAAGAGCACCTGGTTGATGAGGGCTTGGTGTCCTGTCATCCGAGCGAGGGGCTTCTTGTCCTCTGCTGGGGACCATAGGAATAAGGTGAAGTCGTCTGAGCCAGATGTCAGCCTCTCTGGGCCTTGGCCCTAGGCAAGAGAGCATGGTATTGGATGTGGTCAGAGACTGTCTATGCACACCAGGGACAGAAGCCAGGTCTAGGGGAAATGAAGCCTGGCACGGCCACAAGTTCACATGTGACCCCACGCAAGTCACTTTGCTCAAAAGAAGAAGGAAATTCTTTATGCACATGGAATAATCTTTAAGATACATAATTACAAGACAAAGCAAGGTACAGAAGGGTGTATTAAAAAAGGGTGGGTTTTATGCGGGTGTATTTGTACGTACATGCTGTATATATACACATGTACGTGTAGATATGAAGTCTTTGTAAGGAGACACAGGTAGCACTGGATGCTTCCAAAAGGAAGGTATGGCTGTGCAAGAGATGGGAGATAGCTCACAATCTACCTTTTTGTATTCTTTGAACTCTAGATTAAGAAGAAAACCAAACCAAAACAAAACTAATCCCTTCAGGAAGGCAGTAAGCAAGTAAACACAACACAAAATGAAGTAAAACAATCACTAGTGACTTAAGATTTGAGGACTGTCAAGAACAATTTTTTAGAATAGGTACTGTGAGCTGAGGGTAGAAGGCAGAGAGGCCCAAGGGTCTGGAGTGATTGACTGGCTGAGGAAGAGACAGAGCTGGCGTGCAATGTGGCTGACACAAACTCACCCGCACCAGGTTGTACCGGCTCAGCGCTCTCTCCTTCAGCTCCTGCACTGTGTCCAAGTACCAAAGGAGAGAGGAAGAGATGAGAAACAAGGATGATTAGAAAATCCCAAACAGCAAGCCTGCCCACTAAGCTGGAAAACTGGATCCTTCCCCTCCTCCTTCCCGCTTACTCACAGGACCCCCGCAGGTCTTGGGCATTAACTGTGGCCTCAGCGGGCTCAAAGGCCCCCGTGCGCAGGGCATAGTCAGTGCTGAGTGCCATGGTGTTCACCCAGTGGCCGTGGCCTTGAAGAGTCCGGCACAGCACGCCCTAGGGTAGAGAGAGGAGAGAGGCAGGTCAGACTCACATATGGACAGACAGATGTACGTATGGACATGGGGACACACACATACACAGAGCATGTCCTAAGGTAGAAAGATACAAGTCAGACACACCATAGATAGAGCAAACTCTAGGAAAGAAGGAGATGGGTCTTTCTTTCTGCCAAACTCTCTTTCTCACACACGCACACCCCAATTTCCACTCTTGGAAGATTAGCCCCACAAGACGGGTGGCATGGGATTTAGAATCAGGACCAAGACTTCATCATTCACTTGATCTTAATCAAATCACCTCCTGTGGGCTCAAGCCTCTCTCCATTTATGAAATGAAAGCACTGGCCTATTTTCGTGGAAGAGAAGTTTACCAGTATGAAAGGACTCCAGTTACGTAGGTTTGGGATGTGGTAGATTTCAAAATAGTAAACAGGCTCCTGACAGAAGGGCTTTCTAGAGCTTGACTACACTAATGGGGATTCTAGAACCCCTGCAATAGTGCAGCACCAGCCACAGAACCCCTTGTGAGGGGTTTGTCATCCTCTGCTGGGGACCAAAGGAATAAAGTAAAGTTGTCTGAGACAGACACCAGCTTCTCTGGGCCTTCGCCCTGGGCAAGAAAGCAGGTGGTGGTGGATGTGGTCAGACACAGACGACTATGCACACCAGGGACATAGCACCAGGCTCCCAGCACACATTCAGAAACACTGGACTTGCTGAGATCAGGTTCACTCCCAACACCAGCATCTTATGACCTGAGATTTGCCAGACTGGGTTTTGCATCCTCCTCATTCTTACGTCATGGGCCCTCCAGACTTTGATGGTACGGTCCTGGGAGGCGGAGTACAGAAGCCCATCCCCTCCCCACCGGAGACAGGTGACAGACTGTGTGTGTCCGGTAAGGATGCGCTCACAGCGGCCTGCAGTTGTGTCCCAGACCCGCACACTGCCATCCTTGGAGCTACTGGCCACATAGCGGCACTCAGGGTTCCTGGCGAGGGGAAGGGATTTGTAAGCTGGCAGTGCCTGACCACCCACAACACCTCCCATTCCCAACTCAGAGGTCAGGGACAATCTCTTGATCGCTTCCTGGCCCCAAGCTGCAGGTAGGAGGAAGGTCTATACCTGGAAGGTCTCCCCCACTACCCCCCAAGCCATCACTGGCATTAGATACCCATCTCGCCCCCTGTGGAAAACATCTGTGTTGAGCAGACAAGGGGACAGCTTTGCTCTCAGTTCACTGTCCCAGCCTGGTGTCACTTACACATGGAGGGGCTCCCAGCTCAGACCTGTGATCCACTTGCTATGGCCAGCAAGGGTCCTGCCCACCTGCTTCCCTGTGCTGGGATCCCAAAGGAGAATCTGAAGGCAAGAAGTTCACTGAGTAACCCTCTCCAACCTCTCCTACCAAAGGTGCCCAGTCACTGCTCCCACTCCATTTTCCCCTCCCTAGATATCCTGAAACCACCTACTTGGCCATTTTTGCAGCCTGAGGCCAGTTTCTTGCCATCTGGAGACCAGGATATGCTAAGGACCCAGTGTCTGTGCCCTAAAAAAGCAGGGGGAGAGAAGAGAGACAACATCCATCTTTATCTCAGGTACTTAGCAGTGCACAGCACACTGCGTGTCCCCTTAACCAACTGCCAAATACATAACAACAGCCCAAAAGGACAGGAGGTTGTCTAGCTGAGGGAGAACACACCCCAAGTGCTAGACACACATTTTGCTGCAGATAATACTGCCACTAGTAATTCCTTACGTGACAACACACAATAAAGGCTTTCCACACCCATCATCCTTTGCAATTCTTACAATAGCTCTAAGGTAGGGAGCAAAGCAAGAATTAGCCTCATTTTCTGGATGCAAAAACTGCAACTTAAGACAGGGAGTGTGTGCTACACACAAGAGGTCACCCTGCTAGACTACAGCGCAGCAGCAATGCACCTAGTGTGGTCCCTAGACCAGCAGCGTCAGCACCACCTGTATCTCATTAGAAATGAAAATTCTTAGGCCCGTCCCCAACCAACTGAAACAAAAGCTCTGGGAGTGAGACCCAGCAATCTGTACTTCGGTAAGACCCCCAGGTGATTCTCAATGTGTGCTAAAGTTTGAGAACCCCTGTGGTAGTAGCTGGCATGCAGTCAGGTTGTCCTTGCTACCAGTGGGTCAGCCCTTCTCCACAGCTCCACACTGATTCTTTGGTTCAGTCTCTCCTTGTTTGTAAGTGGCTTGTTGGCTCAATGATCTTGTCTCTATCTAGGCACAGACAGCCACAAACTGATGTTGGGGGTTGGGTTTTGGTCTGCTCCCCCCAACCCCCGGACTAAAGAGCTAGCAAATTAGCCTCCTAAATGCATACTGACCCTTGCATGTAAAATGTGGAGTCTCTGTGCTGAGATCCCAGAAGCGCACGGTGGTGTCTCCAGAGCCACTGGCTAGGTACCTAGGGAAGAGAGGCAGCCTGACTGCTGTAGTGGTGGGTGGCCCAAGGGGCCCACCCCGAGACACTACATGTGTACATTTCTGCTGACTATCCAATTGTCTTCTGGAAACAGAATCTGAACTGGATTCCCCTGAGAAGGAGAAATATGACAATGATGCTCCCTGGGAGATGACCCAGGAGAGGCCACTCCTTCCTGATATACTTAGAGGACTGTGAGAAGAAATGAATGCCAGTTTCGCAGGGGAATAACAAACTCAGAAAAAGGAAGTGGCTTGTCCAAGTCACACAGCTTGAAAGGTGTATTGCTGAGCTTGCAGTTCAAATTCCCTGAAAGTCCAGAAAAGGCTCTTCCCAGGCAGGTGTCCTTAGCTTTTGGGGACCAAACCCCAAGAGGAAGTCCCTTATTTGCAACTTGAGCCCAGGGCTCAAGTCTATGAGGGCTCTCTACCCCAGTGAGGAGCTGCTGTACTTACTTTCCGGTGGGGCTGAAGGCCACAGAAATGACTGCTTCGCTGTGACCCTCCAAGGAGCTGGTGCAGCGGGTCACAGCCCGGACCCTGAAGACAGCCTGGGGCTGGTAGATGATGTCTACGATCCTCTCTGTCTCCACTGCCTGGGACTCCAGAGTCTTCTCCAGCGAGGAGACAATCTCGGCATCGTGGACATAGAAGGCCAGGGGTAGGGGATCTTCCTGGGGACAAAGGTAAAGGGCACGTGCAGGGATTAGAAGGAGTGAGGCTGCCTGCTTTTCAGCCGACCTGCTGGGATACCCCCATTATGCCCCACTCAAACCTCAGGACACTCACACTACATTTTGCAGTTTTTTTATCTGCATCTCACAACCCTAGGAAGTAGACATTAATGTCCCCACTTGATGGATTAAAAAAATCAATTAAGCAGTGGGGAGAAATGAACCAATCCTTGTATGCACATATGAATAATAAAAGAAAAATGAAAAAAAAAAAAAAAAAAAACAATTAAGTAATTAATTAGCTCAATGTCCTGTTAATGACTAATTCAGGTCATTGGTGTTTGTCAAAAAGAACTCTAAACTTCAGGATTAGGGTTAGCATATATACATATATATAATAGGATATATATATATATATATATATATCCTATTATAACATATTAGGGTTAGCATATATACAGTGCCTTCCTTGTATGGTGTTTTCCAAAACACCACTCTGATGTCTATCTGTATAAGAACCATCCAAAAAACTGGTTAAAAATGCAGTCTCGGAGCCTGGACCCTCCCCCCACCTCCCTTAATCCTAGCCATTTGGGAGGATGACATGGGGATGATCAGGGTTGTAGACCAATATAACCAGAGCAAAATGAACTGGAGGTGTGACTCAAGCAATAGAGCACCTGCTTTGCAAGCGCGAAGCTCTGAGTTAAACTCCAGTCCTGCAAGAAAAAAAATTAAAATAAATTTAAAAATGCAGACTCTGCTTCACTCCAAAATCTGGTTCAGTCGGTTGGGTGGGGTCCAGAAACTGCATTTTAAAGCACCCTCCCACCCCAACAGAAGGCAGCACTTGGTAAACACTGGCTTAAAGGTTAAGAGAATGGGTTTGAAATCTGACAAATTTGGGTTCCAATTCCAAAACTAGCACCTCCTGTTTGGTATTACACGAATCATTTAACGCCCGCCCTCCCATACACACTGCCGCCAGGCTATACGGTAAAATGGGGATATTAATGTCTCCCCGCCTTGAGGGGCTGTGACGAGCAATCATGCGAACACCGCCGCCACCCAAGGCGTTCGAAATGCGGCCTCTCCGCAGGTGGACCGGATGGCCCGCGTGCAAAGCTCTTGCACACCGATTCCATCCTCTGACCTTCCCCGGGGGGCAGGTGGGGGCTCGCACCCCAGTCCCTCGGTCTCTAGGTGCTCCCTCCCAGGGCCGCCCCGCGCGCCGCTCACCTGGCCCAGCAGCGCGTTGCACACGAGCTGCAGCTTGTCGGGGGTGATGTCCACGGGCACGTCGAACGGGGAGCCCAGCAGCTGCCCGCCCTCATCCTGGAACTGCACTAGCAGCCGCTGCACGTCGTGCGCCGCCGCCCCGTCCTGCGCGAATAAGGGTGGCGACCGTCAGACCCGCCCGTAAGACTCCCTTCGCCTCCCGCGGGTCCGGGGACCCAGCCGGGCGCCCCCACCCCACTCACGCACACCCACTGCCGCCGCCGCCGCCATCCTGCGTCCCCACGTGGAGGAGAAGGACGCTGGCGAGACAGAGCGCCACCTCCGCGGGGCGCGGGGGCCGCCGCCGCGCACAGCGCCCTCTGGTGTCGGGAGGAGGGTCAGGCACCTCCCTCCGGTGATCAGTCTCCCTGGAGGGGCCTTCCTCCGCATTCGCCCCTCCTGAGTCTTCCAAGATGCAGTCACAGCAGGGATCCCTGACCCATTTTACAGACGAGGAAATCAAGGCACTATTGGCCCCAACTCAAAGGGATAGGAAATGGCAGAGAGTGAGTGGACTGAGCTCTAGGCAGCCCCTTCCTCGCCCCACCCCCAAACTATTGGGATGATGGAAGAAACTATTATTCTTTCTTTAAAGGGATCTAGTCAATTAACAGGTTTTTATTGGCAGTACTATGACTTGAACTCAGGAACTCATGCTTGCTAGGCTGCCCTTGACCTCTTGAGCCACTCCACTAGCCCTTTTAGTGTTGGTTATTTTTGATGCAGGGCTTGCTTTATGTCCAGGCAGGCCTGGACAGGGATCCTCCTATTTGTGCCTCGCATGGGAATGACACCTGTGAGCCACTGCCAACTGGGGGTGTCAGGACTGGCCTGGCACGGTGATCCTCCCCATCTCCGCCTCTGATAAAGCTTTGAGTAGCTAGGACTATTGGCGTGAACCACTGCACTAGACTCAATCATACTTGATGAGCACAAAGGTAAATTCTGCAGTTATCAACACTGTGGAGCAATAATGATGATGATGATGATAACGATGGCAACGGCAGCATTGTGTCAGGCACTGTTTGAAGCGCTTTTCAGAAGTACTCATTTAATCCTCACAACAACTCTTTCTCCTCGTGTTCGGAAGCAGAACCGAAGCAGGGAGCAATGAACATGAGTTCTCTCGCTGGACACCTGGGATATTTCAGGGGACTCTCCTGTCCCTGGTGACGCGGGGCAGGGTGTCTCCAGCTCCCTCACTTCTGCCTCACTGATAAAATTGGATGTTACCTCCAGCTCCACTGCCACATTGAGTGACACACAGAGTAACTGTCACTTCCTGCCTGAACTAAGACAACAGCCTCTGGACCAGCCTCCTTATCTTCATTCCTTCCTCCTCCCATCCATTCTCCACCCTGCAGCCAGGGCAATTTTTTTCTTTAAGTATTTCTCTGCGGGAGAGGATATCACACTTCTACTCAATTAAGAAAAACATTTTTGCTAGGTGCCAATAGCTCATGCCTATAATCCTACCTACTTGGGAGGCAGAGATTGGGAGGCTCAAAGTTCAAGGCCAGCTTGGGGAAATAGGTTGTGAGAACCCATGTCCAAAATAACCAGAGCAAAGTGCACTGGAGGTGTGGCTCAAGTGGTAGAGCGCCTGCCTTGCAAGCATGAAGCCCTGAGTTCAAACCCCACTCCCACAAAAAAAAAAAGAAAGAAAAAGAAAAACATTTTTACAGTGTAGAGGTATTTTATTTATTTATTTATTTTTCATCCTTTATGCCATGAACTCATAGGGTTATAGTTCCAGCAGCTCAGGCTCCTGCCATTGGTTCTCACAAAGTGTGCATCTCTGGGTGGCGCTTCAGTTGGACCCAAGTGCCTTTCTCTTTGGCTTCCTTCTTTTTCTGATCATTTTCCTTCACACTTTTCAGGAAGCTATGTTTGTGGGAAGGCCTCAGGACCCCCAGAGCCTCTTGGAAAAGAGCGGGGTCACTGTAGCTTTTGTGCAACAACCCTAAGAGAGATAAGAAGTCCCAGAGGACCTCTTTCAAACTCCCCATTCTCTCTCTCTGCTGGGACGGGGAGACCCAGTCCTGAGAATATGATGTTCCACACTTGGGCTCATAGCCATAGCAACATGACAGCCAATCCCAGTACAGAGGTCAAGGGAAACCTGGGGACTACCACATACTCCTCCCTGCTTTTCTGCACTGCTTAAATACTCTCTTCAGAAAATAAACTGTGCCATTGCTGCCCTGCACTTCCTTGAGCTCCTGTCGTTATTCCCCGCTCCAGACCCCAAGACCACAGTCTAGCTGGCCTGCGGCAAGTGGTGCAGCGACTGGGATCTGCTCTGAACATCTTGGCAGTGCAATTCAAGTTGGGAGCCCCAACCCAAGGTGTTGTGAACTGTAAGTTGGGGAACATTATGGGGAATGCACTGAGTTCAGAACACAGGCATTTCTTGCAGCTGCTACGCTGCTTATATTAAAAAGTAAGGTATTTCTTACACCCAGGGACAAATTGAAGATTTTATAGAGACAGTTATCCAATTTAATCCTTGGTTTCCTGAGCATGAAACTTTAGACCCTGATAGCTGGAAGCAGATAGAAGAAAATGTAAAGAGAGCTCACCAAAGAGGGGAAAATATTCCTATCCATTTTTTTGGCATGTGGTCCTCTGTTCATTATTGCTTGGGACCTCTAGTGGAACCTTCTAAAGAGGCTCCTGAATCAAGTCTTCCAGAGGACAATAAGGAGGAAGAAAAGCTTCCTCCCAAAAAACTTGTAAAATTTAAATTTTCCTCTGTGGAGGATTCTACATCACTTTATGTTTGTTTTTACCCATCTTTTGCTCCATTGAAGGCTATCCCTCAGACAGGTACCATTCCTAAGAAAGGGACAAAACGGGGAGAAGAAAATGAGGAAGTCTCTCTAGAAAAAACTTTCAGACAGCTATTATTGGAGGAAGGGAATGATGACCCTTCTCCTCCATCTTTGGCTCCTTCACCTTTGCAGAACCCTCTGGCCTTTTCAGTCATCCTGGGGCCTCAGAGACAATGATGGCATGAGACCGTTTCTCTTGGAGTCCTAAGAGGATTTAGAGATGCAGTTAGGGAGAATGGAGCTAATGGCCCATACACCCTTACTCTGTTGGAATATCTGAGTCGAGAAATTTGTACACCATGAGACTACAAGCAATTAGCTCAAGCTTGTCTTAGCCCTGGTGATTTCCTTATATGGAAAGCAAAATATTATGATGAATGTGATGAACAAGGGCAAAGAAATAGGGATGCAGGTGTGCCCTTAATGGAGTAGGAAAATACGCTGATGCCCAACAACAGATGTTTGGTATGCCCCAATATTTTGATCAGATAAGACTTTGTGCCAAGAGAGCTTGGAGTAGCCTTCCTGACTTGGGTATGGAATCAACTGAGAGTTTCTTGCAGCTGAAACAAAAAGCCAATGAGCCTTGAGCTGAATTTCTCACTCGAGTTGAACACGCTATAAGTTACAAAGTTCAACATGCAGATGCACAAAGGTTCTTGGTCCGTCAGATTGCATATGAGGGGGCCACCAAAGAATGTAAAAATCTATCAGACCAGTAAAGAATGGAGATCTTTCTACTTGGGTTTCTGCTACCCAGGATATTGGCACTCAATCATACATGACTGCTGTTCTAGCAGCCGCCCTAACTTCCTCAAAAGGCATTACTGCTTCCCAGACACCATGTTTTGGATGTGGCCAAAAAGGCCACCGGAAAAGGGACAGCCCCAAGGGCAAAGATCACTGGGGCCCAAAGCATGTTCCTCCAGGGGGAAGACCTTCTAAAATGTGCCTATGATGCAATAAAGGCTATCATTGGGCTAAAGACTTTAAATCCAAACATCATGCTCATTGGAGACCTTTAAACAGGACAGGAGGCAAACTTCAGCCCCGCCCCAAGAAGGAACAATTTCCTGTATCCAGTAGGAAGACTCCCCAGAGTTCAGGATTTGATCTCCTTGTATTAGAGGCATTGACCATCTCTCCAGGTATACACCAGTCCTGGTGACATGTCATTTCCATAACTTTACAAAAGAATTAACAGGAATAATCATGGGAAATGAAAACTATTTTCTTCAAGGACTAACTGTGCATCCTTATTATACTATGTTAAAATCCAAGTCTCCAATAATAGTCTATGTTTCTAGCTCTAGGCAATGGTTAAGATTAGAGAAGAATGCCAAGATTGCAATATTTTTGCCTTTACCATCTGAGACCTCTCCTCAAATATATTGGACTCAACCCATTTTAGATCAACAGCCCTTAGCTACTATCTATATTAGGGAATAGCTTTTCAAGGTCTTCTAGACACAAGAGCAGATCAGAGTGTTATTCCTCAATCATTATGGCCTAAACATTGGGGAAGAAAAAGAGGAACCACAGTACAAGGAGTAGGGGGATCACAATTAGCCAAGGTTAGTGCAGAGGTACTCCAATGGGAAGATGAAGATGGCAATTCAGGGACTTTTCAACCTTTCGTAATTATAGGACTACAATCTGCTTATGGGGGAGAGACATAAAGCAGCAGTTGCACATGACTCTTACCACGCACAAAGCTCAGCCTTGGGAGGAGGCTCTTTCCCAGGTTCAACAAGATAGGACAGTCACAAGGCCTTGGGAGGAGCCCCTTTCCCAGCGTTCTTCCTGTCACTGTGGCCTTGGTTATTCCTGTAACCACCCCCTCCTAGGGGCCACGGATATGAAGTCCCGGCCCACAGCTGTACCACTTAAGTGGTTGATCAATGAGCCTGTATGGGTTGATCAGTGGGACAAAAATTACAACAGGTTCATATTTTCATACTGCAACAAATAAAAGCTGGACATGTGGAGCCTTCCAATAGTCCATGGAATAGTCCTATTTTTATAATAGAAAAAAAAGCTAAAGGAAAACATAGATTAATACATGACCTTCGAGCCATTAAAAAAGCCATGCAAACCATGGGAACTTTACAACCTGGTCTCCCTTCTCCCACCATGATTCCTGCAGGATTTGCGACTATAATTATAGATTTAAAAGTCTGCTTTTTTTTACTATCCCATTACATGACAATGACAAGGAGAAACTTGCCTTTACATTGCCATCCATTAATAATGAAAAACCAGCTCAATGGT